ATCACAATGCTGAACAAGCTATATTTTACAAAAGATTGATCGCATATGTTGATTGACCAAAAGATGATAAATCAAAACAAAGATAAAATGTGAACAAAAACTGTCTTATAGTAGTAATTATAACAAAAAACGATTGCCCTACTTCTTTTATGAATTGAGCGACAGAATATTTGATAGACATTTCAAAGAATTAAAAGGTTCTTAAAAATGTGATGTAAAAATTGTATAGATGTGAAGCAGAATCAAAACAGTTCACGAAAAATTCATTCTTAAAATTTGCTAGAATATGATAATAGAAAAAGAGAATGTAAAACAAATGGGGTCAGCGATATTTGTTAGTTATCTGTCCTTAAATGTAGATTTTTATTTCACTTATTTGAGATCAAAATAAATTAAACATACTAATAAGTCTAGAATAGTTTGCTTTTACTTTTGAATTCTCTTTTTCATTTCATATAGGTCACAATGCAGAATAAAATGCATTCTAAAATATGGCTTTTTACCCTTTTCACTTTAAATAAATGAAATATATTTTCTTTACAAATTTTCCAAGAAACAAAAATCAAAAACAAAAAAATACAAACACGGGACAATGTCACAAATGACTTTAAACCGAAGTTTTTCCCGAGATGGATACATTTACATATTTAGAATTGAAAGTAAATGCGTTTTAGTTTTTATTGCACTAATGGGTGGAGAAGTGGGGTGTAAAGGTTATAGGATATTCCGATCCTAGCTAAATGCATGTTGTACATGTAAATCGAAGAAATAAATGGTCACGTCAGTTGTGAACCTTCATACTTAGTCTAGAATACATGAGCCGCGTCACAACAAAACCAACATAATGGGTTTGCGACCAGCATGGATCCAGACCAGCCTGCGCACCCGCGCAGTCTGATCAGGATCCATGCTGTTTGCTTACAAACCCTATAGCAAGTAGAGAAACTGATAGCGAACAGCATGGATCCTGATCAGACTGCGCGGATGCGCAGGCTGGTCTGGATCCATGCTGGTCGCAAACGCACTATGTTGGTTTGTCATGACGCGGCTCATATATTTTCACATATACCAAATGTTGAATAATATCTAGGAAATATTTATGCCATTTGCCTAGAGATGAGCTTATTAATAATTTTGAAAAAGACAGTCTTTGACTGTAGAGGTTATTTTAGCTGTTATCAAATGAAAGAAAATATGTGTTAACGAAAGAGGTACACTTGTTTTTAGTATATAATATCAAATTAATTTATTCTTCATAGGCTTAATGAAAAACGCAAGGAAAAGAAACAACTTCATATTTGCTAATTTATCCACTGTACATTTTGTTTTGATTTTGTATGTTTCACAGAAGAATATGATAAGAAGACAAACTTTCTTCCAAACTCACTACAACAGAGCATTTGGATTGAATAGTGGAACATTTTCAGAAGAATAACAATAACTATTTAATAGATCAAAGATATAAAACAAGCATTGCAGTTGAAAGTACAGTGTACAACATGGAAGGAGAACTTAATCAATGTGGTATGTCTAGCAAAACGCAACTTCTGTTAGTATAGTGTTATATCTGTGTCCCAAGCACCAGATGACCAATCCAAAAATGACTTTGAACAACCAAGTTTAACTAACAAACTTTTGTAAACAGCGGTTCATGATCAGTTGCCTTGATTTTACTATAATCAAACACAGAGTAAGAATAATCAGGAAGATTTGCTTCAACTACCACCCAACATCCTTAAGAGGAAACTTCTAGCATGAATGAAAAAGAAGATTCAAACCAGTGTTGTGGCAAAATACTTAAACTTGAGCAGACAAATGGTACCCATTTCATGCAGCTAGAAAATAGAATGGTACAGCGCCAACAACAGATGCTGGATGGTCTGGATAAATCTCTGCAAATCAGCATCGATTTGCGTTAGGCTTGCATCTCCAAATGAAGGCCATTGGCTCCAAAATATTTAAAATGCAATCTTTTGAAAACTCAAAAAGCTGATATGGCCATGAAAATGTTCGAAAACATTCAAAAGAAATTTATCATGCACTTTGGAAATGAAGATGGAATAATCTTTATTATTGACTGTCAGTGCATTAAGTAATAGAAAGAGCATCGAAACACGAGGCTATCTGAATCTACGAGGGGCGTAGCCCCCTAGTATTAATCAGATTACCGAGTGTTTTGATGTTCTTTCTCTTTTGTATCATAGTCTAACATAAAAACGTGCTCCCTGTTGTCACAATATGAAACCCCGGCAAAAAAGAATCAATGACCGAACATCTGAATTTGACATTTCTGTTGCTGTCCCTTTCTCTGCCGTCACAATATGTAAACCCAAGCAAAAGTGAGCCAATCAATGGACATGCTCTGGAGTGCGGGTAACTAATACCTGCACTCCAGTTAACGCACTGTGCTTATATATGTATACAATTTAACTCTGACACATTTTCAACAGAAAGGTCCCCAAACTATGATACAATTGTGTTTTTGCGTGTTCGTTTAGAACTAGTGCATTTGCAGTTATATTTTAAGCCATTATTAACAGAATAACACTCTTGATTTTAGGACATTCATATCTGTAAAAAATGAGCCTCTCTCTTCATGTCCTTTATATCACATATATATATCATGATAGGTCAATCCTTCTATGTTTGATCATTTATGCAATATTATGTACATTTAAGATCTTATTATTCAATCTAAATCTGTAGTGTTTTCTACAGGTAAAGATGAATTGTTCAGGGAAGTTATAGAGCAAGTTTATCCTCGGAGGAATGGGGAGAAAAAATGGTGTATCTGACCAGTGTGAACCACTGAACGTGTCTAAAAGCTCTAGGAAATCTTTGAAAATTGCCAAACAGTTATAATGTGTGAGCGGATAAATGAATTAAATACAATATAAGTAAAATCTATATTCTTTATATATTCTTATGTGTTTATTTTCACCTACTGTATACTATTTTCATGCAAGTACCTCTCCGAGGTTAGTTAGGATTGATTATGATAATGATATAAACTGAAAACTTCAGCACTTGTTGTTGTTTTCAAATTGCTTTCTTATGGTTATAAAGACCTTAGATTGGTTTTCATTTAGGAGTCACATGATTTGTAATCTTAATCATTTATTTTGCCTTCACTTGAAAGGCTTTAAGTGTGATTTGATATAGTCATTACAGCATTCAGAAATATAGACAAACTGTCCAGATGGGAATGATAGAATAAAGAAATAGTGAAAAGCATAGAGGGCTTCTTAGATCAGTCCGCCCGCAATTTTTAACGAGCTGAAGCTGATGCCATCATGACCTCGGTCAATTCAATGTTTGGGGCGGACTGGGAGGTCATTATAATGCTACTAGGTCCGAAGTTTTGTATCCTATTTCTTACATCTTGCACTACATTTTACTAGAACATAATGGTAAACGTTCAACGATAAGGGAAACTATTTTGCTTAAATTACAACACTTAAAGACTACTGACAACTGTTAACCGTCAACTTATTTTATATTCCTACCGGTAACACGTTTAACCTTTTCTCTAATCGCTGACGTCATGATATTATATTATCTAAAGGCTTTAATACTGACATATAATAAAGAAACACATTTATGCAAGGTATATTGTTAAAAAATAAAGGATGTATTCTTAATAAATGAAATAAATCTGGTTCTCATGACTGCCGAATGTAAACGCTCCTTTTACCAGTGTTATTTTCATGAGCGCTAAATATTTAGATATAGTACATGTAGTATTTAATTATGACGAGAAAATGCTAAAAACATTATTGACAAGTCTTTCTCAGATGTGTATAAACATTTGTCTAATAGTTAGAAAAATCCTTAAATGTAATATCCAATCAGACATTAAGTTTAACAAGAGGGCCATGATGGCCCTAGATCGCTCCCCTGACCTATCAACCACATCCGAGCAATGTCTGCATCCTGACCAAGTTTGATGACGATGGAGTCAAAAATGTGAATTCTAGTGTGATAACAAGATTTTTTTCCATATTTGGGCAGTGTGACCTAGATTTTAATCCCAGGTGATCCATCTTCGAACATGACCTAGAAATCATCAAAACAACCTTCCTGACAAATTTCCAGAATAAATGGATCAAAACTGCAGCCACTAGCGTGTTAACAAGATTTTTCTATTTTTAGCTCCTGTGACCTAGTTTTTGACCCGAGATGACCAATCTTGGAACTCGATCCGTATTTTATTGAGACAAACATTCTGACAAAGTTTGATGATGATCCAATCAAAACTGTGACTGCTAGACTGTTAATAACCCAATTGTTGACGACGGACGCCGAACATAGCCCCATCACTATACCTCACCTTGACCCCTTCGTGGTCAGGTGAGTTAAAAATCGTGAGACTTTACGCATAACCAGATTAAAAACATTTGTTTTTAAAAATCGGCTTACATACAAATGAAAAGTAAACTTATATTTATATCATATACAGTTCTTATTCTACTTAGTGCATGAAAAATAAACAAAAAAAATTACAATCAATTTGTATTCTTAACATGGAACCTGCAGCTCATATCAAAACATTTCACATAAATGTTCTCAATTACGACTTAACTGAAATGAAAGGCTAATATAAAAACTGACATTACATTTAATATAAAAACTAACATTACATTTGACACATTATGCCTCAGAAATCCATATTGATGAAAGTCTTTAGAAATGTCAACCATGTGTTTGATATTGTTTAACTAATGCATTAAGAGCATGTTAGATATTTACCAACTGAAGAAAGTAGCGCAGAATGTGCAATAATGTGTCATAAATGTAGCAAACTGTAAGCAAAGTATTATTTTGACTTCCATACAAAACACTATTCACTATTATTATACCAATTGCCAACAAAGCAAAAAAATCAAAAGATATTTTAACTATATAACAAATGAGTACTTTTTTTAGAAACTGTAACAAGATTCCAAAACTTCAGTTTTTTTGTGAAACAAATAGCATTTCTGGCGCATAATGGGCATGTGATCAATGCAGTAAGCTGGGATACACAAAGTCAATATATATATATACTATACATGTCTTTCACCCTAAAAGGAACTAAATTCAAGATAAAATTCATGGTCAAAGCACAAATTTATGTGTGTTTCTAAAATACAACCATTATCAGATGTTTGATGTTGTGCACACGCCGTCCTGCTGTTCATTCCCGCCTTGTTCAACTGTCCCGCCCTTTTCAACAGGCACTGTGTGTTTGAGGATTATCTCGTCTGTATCAAGAGCCCAGGACTGTACTTCGCCAGAACCAAATATAATATAAAATACTGCCCCGACAGTGTAAATAACAGCTGCTATATAGAACACTGTTTGCCACTGTTCACTGGTTTTCTGTGAAAAGTAAAAAATAAAAACTGTATTAGTATTAGGAAATAGAGGATATTGAATGAGTGTAAGTTTGCTTACATTTAGCGCGTCTTAGCGCTATGTTTATATTATTAGTTAGGCGAGGGTTATATTGCAAACAGCCGTTTATATACGGCCATATAAACTGTCAACGAATTTATAATACAGCAAGCATCATTTTGTGGATATCGACAGCAGCCGTGTATATAAATCTATATAAACGTCACGATTATCCAATGAAAAGCGACGTTACAAACGTGCAGTATTATAAAACGAAAATGACGTCACGTCAAAATATATGCACGACCGTGCAATACCATTTTACGGAGTCGTAAAAATGGCACGGGTATGTGATAAACAAATATAACATTGTGTATGAATTTATAGATAACAAATGAAGATGAACAAAGTTAGATCTCTGAAAAATTGTAAGCACTTTGTACAGATATAAAATGAGAAAATCGTATTTTTATCCTTACTGTAGTGTTGAATGAATTTATTAGTTTTATACGTTTTAATGTTGAAACAAAAATATTGACATTGCTCTAGTGATCCTTCATAAAAATTATATTTAAACCCTGTACAGTACAAAGGTATGATATACATTGAAAATAAATGCTTAATTTAATAAAATCGATGTTTTTGGTCTAATTCTGCACATTTTACTGCAAACTTACTCGAAATGATAGTTTCTATATATATGCTATTAAGTACATTCATGTCCAGTAAAGAAAATTTAATGAGGCCGTTTTGGGATCATGTGTACAGTAAATAAATTACACTTACATCTTCCGTAAGTATACCAATTACAACTGGTGCTAGAACGCCCCCTAGTGTCCCCGACGTATTTGAAATCCCAAAGATAATACCAGCGTATCTAGGGGCTATATCTACCGGATTCACGATAAAACCGCTTCCATACTGGCATCCTGACATAGCAACGCCAATTGTTAACATAGCGACGGCAAAGCCCGGATGACTGTCAAGGTGTCCGGTGATAATAATTAAAGCTCCCGGCACAAGAGTTCCTACATGTAAAAAGGGAAAGAATGTGTTTTAATTACATGTACAATGATAACATTTCATATTTAGAATTTTACACAGATATTTAGAAATTATTATGCACTAAAACGATCCTATTTAAAGATTTTAAAAAACATACAGATCTAAATTCTACTTTAACCAGTCTTTCCTAAAACAACGTTAAATATGCGTAACACAATTTGAAAATAAATGATTTTGAGCACAATTTTACGCAACTTTCTTTAAAACTATGAGCGACAAGTCGCCCAAACCGCTGTATAACAAACCTATGCTATTGAACAGTTTCCTAGCGTTAGTCGTGCTCAAATATCCTTTTGTTCTCATACAGTCTGCAAGCTGACCGGAAACATTTGTCATTGCCCAGAAACCAATGTACGGAAGCGCCGACAAAAATCCTGCCTATATGTACAAGAATATATTATTATTTCAGTGATAATTTTATAAATGAAGTCATAAAGTAGATCAGTCTTTTACTTGCAACGATTCACGCATTGTATAACTACTGAAGGATAGAATGTTAACAAATACATTGATGCAAGTTGAAAAATTGGAAAAAAAACCTGAAAACTGTAATTCATTATCATTTTGCTACATAATCTAATAGTAAAACATTTAGAAATTTGTCTAAAAAAAACCCTGAGCTTCAGGCATATGCCTGAAAACTTGCACCCATGCTGAAATATGTTATCAACAGACCATTGTGTTTCTTTGTTTCAAAACATAATATTTTGCACATTGTTCTGTTAAAACGCATATTCATAGGTTAATAAATACATATTGCTTGATATTAATAAACAAAAAAAAGAAACAATTTGGTTTGGAATTAAAAGATTTTTTAAAAATAATAGAGCCTCCTAACCTGTTTTCAGATATTTTTAATCTATTTACCTTTTTGATGTCGAATTTCAAAACATCTTTCATATAGGTTGGTATATTCGTCAAAAACGTGTATGTTCCCCAGTTTGCGCATGCGTGTGTTACAATTATTGCCCAAACCGGAAGCGATGTAAATATTTTCCGCCATGGTGTTTCTGTCGACTGAAACGAGGCAAAATTTATCTTGCATTATCAAATTTAAACAAGTTTATCCTATCAAAATACCATATCGGTCAACACTTAATCTGTAAAAAATGGTTAAAAACAAGTAACAAGGAGAGGAGCCGGAAGCAAATTTATCTTTAAAATATTTAAGTTCTCAGAAACAAGATCAGTCTGCAGACTAGATTTCATTTGTAAGTGTACATTTTATCCCGTGATTGAAAACTGAGGGGTATATTTAAAAATCTTGGAGTAAAGTGAAGTTCAAATGTGCTTTGTCGAAATGATAATTCACTCAATAGACTTTTCACTAACACAGGCACACAGGCATCACTTGAGGTTGTATTCTAGGAAAACAGATGACATAACAAACCCTCATCTTATGTTCAGTTCATATGCTTATTTCCCGTAACCAAAATATTTGTATATTCGAAATAATGTACAATCATGTACATTCATTTCAAAGAGCAATGCTTATTTTAATTTATAAATTACAATTTCTAATGGCATATTTGCACAGACCGATAATAAAGTCAATTGATGAAAAGATAAAGTGACAAAATTTTCGATGATATAAAGAAACTCAAAAATGTTATAAAGATCCAAAGATTTTTTACGACAATACATGTGACGTCAAGACATTTCTTAGAACTAGAGTCGAATTTTCGGGAGTCAGTATGCAACGGAGACTGCGTTTAGATCGCCCTAACAATACGTACACGACAAAGGCACTTAGAAGATATGCGATTTAGACTACCCCAAACACTCATTTTAAATTCAAAGGTTGTGACAATTTTACTCAAAAGTTGTAGATGACAATAACATGTCCACAGGAAGTGAATATATAAGTTAATTACATGTATCATTAACCCTTAACATAGAACCGGAAGTGAATCGTCTATCCACCAGTATATATGGTCGAGCCAAGCCAGCCGTTAGACCGGCTTGTTCCAAGTGTTCTAGTATACAGAATAACAATACATATTTAGCTTAAAGTGGTCTTCAAACTGTTAGTTGCTCACCATTTTTTGTATTTTGTAATCGAAATCCCTTAAACTTTAAATGGACTGTACCATATTCAAACCTCGGAAAAAGTACGGTGTGTAATCAGGGTAATGGTTCAAGATATCTTACCTTCTTGCTAACATCGATTTGGCATTTCAGACTGTCAACTATATACTCGCGCTCCTGTGGTGAAATCCTAGGGTGTGTCACAGGGGAGTCATAAACTAGGAACGACCAAGCTACAAACCAAATCAGCCCACAGCCACCTACATGAATATATCGGATGTGTAGATAAAGAAAACTTACGTTGTTACCAGGCAGGAATTTTTTTTATAATTCTTAAATGATGCTAAATGTTAAGGTAACTTTAATGTCTATTAATAAAAGGCACTTTCTGTCTTACAAAACAAAACACATGAATTGAAAAGTTAGAAAATTTAAAAAGCGTATGCTTCAATGATAAGGTCAAAGGTCGAAGCCGACTCGAACCTGTTTGACATATAAAATATATTATATTTTGTTCTTTTACATCAAAATGAAAAAAAGATGATGTCATATTAGTTCACACTAAATAATGGCATAACAAAAAGTTATTTCACCTAGCAGGTAGAATATACTTGGCCACCCGCCGTCAAAGCCGTACACACACAGCAGCCCGGACAAAGGGAATGTCACCAACACACCAACTTGACAACCTAAATTAGTTTTCAAAATTTATTTCTGTTATATTGCTATACAAGTCTACTAAGTGATTCCCAGAGCGAGCACTAATTAGAACCTCAGAAATCATATGAGCCGTGTCATGACAAAACCAACATAATGGGTTTGCGACCAGCATGGATCCAGACCAGCCTGCGTGATCAGGATCCATGCTGTTCGCTTACAAACCCTATTACAAGTAGAGAAACTGATAGCGAACAGCATGGATCCTGATCAGACTGCGCGGATGCGCAGGCTGGTCTGGATCCATGCTGGTCGCAAACCCATTATGTTGGTTTTGTCGTGACGCGGCTCATATAGCTTTCACAGAAGACGTAAGGTGATGCTACTGTACATGTGCCAAATATCTAAGCTTTGTTACTGAGCAGAAATTTATCTTTAAAATGTTCATTTTCAAAGTCTGTTTCCAGCTACTTAGTCAGACTGGACCAATTTATAAAACTGTCGTTGAAACAATACGATCTTTTATGTGTTGTCGTCAAAATCGATTTGGTTTGCTTGAGATTTGTTGAGAGGGATAGTCAGACGGACATCAGGCAGTCACAAAACCTGACTTATAAGCAAAGAAGCTTAAAAATTTATTAAATAGAGAGGTACATATCTTATTTATAAACAGAATATCAAACTCCTGTGCTCTGAGCAATGTACTAAAACTGTTCTAGACAGTGCTCAGGTGAGATAAACCTGTTCTCTGAGAGTGCTCAAATGATTTAAACCTGTTCTGGAAGATCTTTCTTTACAACATGTTTTTTTTTAAATTGACAAACCAAAATACCTGATTAAAATTTTATTTTTCCTTTTCTTTTCAAAATTTGAAACATAATTTTAAAAAATTATCAAAAATTAAAAAAAAATGCGGGTGTTTTTGTTTAAAGGAAAATTTTCGCTTGAACTGGTTTTCATATTACGCCACGGGTATATTAACACTCGAGCATGGATTAAACATATGCATGTATAGTACATATATACATGATTTTATAAATATACAACAATCAAAACAGGATTATGTAATCGGTTAAATTTAGACAATGGAGTCGATTCTATACGGTATGTCGAGGACAACCAGTAAATCTAGATATTAATATCTTTTTATTTCAAAATAATACAAAATAACTTGGATAATCTTTAAATTTATACCTAGTTTCTAATGATTTTAGTCGAAACTTACCAGCATATACAAATCCACTGAGTTTGCTCCTCTCCAGAGGTGGTGCCCAGTATGAAAACAGTATCGACATGCATGGCCAAACCACGCCCTTAAAATATGAATATAATTAAATACTTTATAGTGAAACTAGACAAAAACATTGCACCATGTAATCCAAGGCTATGCAATTCATTTACTACGATGTATTTATATTAATTACATATCTCTGCTACTTCCGATCACTGTACTGTGTATATATTTTAACTTGTACCTTTGCGATATTTTTAAATTTTCCGGGCAAAGAAAAATTTAGGGGTTTTTTTGAGAAAATACACCGTGTTTTTAAATAATCGAAATTTTTTCGCCCCTTTTTCCGTCGGTTTTGGGAAAAATTTGCCCTCGAAAAAAATTTAAAAGGGGTAGGGTTTTTTCGATGAAAATGTAAGAAAAATCTGGGAGTTGTTGACTAAATTAATTCCAATAAAAATAATATCATGTAAACATCCCCCTGAATTTAGTTAATATACAGATATAAAAGTAACCATGACTTTTTTTTTTATAAAAATATACTTATAAAACGAGAGTAAATGCTCTAAAAGCTAAATCTGTTTGGTTATAAAGGCGTTTTAAAATGTATTATGATGGTGTCAGACATATTTTTCAATCGTAATTTTACCGGAATCTAATTAATTTTGCTTTGGATGTCATTCGTTTTATATATATCATTATACAAAATTCACACTCTCTGGTTTTGTTTAGAAGCTACAGGTACATCTAAAGATCTAATTGATACTGTGCTGAATTTTGTTTTAATTGAATTACCTGACACAGTCCAGCAATTACACGGAGAATTATAAGGAGTATCATGTGTGTTCGAGCTGCAAGAGGTGTAAGTAAAGTTGCCACGGCACAGCCAAGCATGCTCCATCCAAACACGTGCTTTCCGCCATATCTTCCAGCTATCCATCCTCCCGGAAGTTGCGTCATAATGTAACCCCAGAAGAACGAGCCCAGTATTAGTCCTTGCGTCTTTGAATCCCAGTCGAATGTATCGTCGCTCTATATTGATATTGAATGAAAATTAAGTTGATTTATCTAAGTAAATTAAATTACAGATATATAATACTCAAATTTTATATTAGTACTGATAATAAATGTAAAAAACATCGTTTTTTTTTGAAAATACACAATCATTTCGTGCTTCACCATCGTACTTTCTTGGTTTCGTTGTTTCGTTATTTCGACTCTTCCCAATAGTACTTCCGACTTTTCATCATCGTAGTTTTGACTTTTCACCATAATACTTTCGACTTTTTACCATCGTATTTTCGTCCTCCTGTTAAGCATGCGCACTGAATGACAATCTGTATAAGATGTCACCTATAGTCCGAACCAGTTAACGCTTAAAATTCAACAAAACGCGCAATGTACTTTCCTCATGCTAACATCATCCAAAGCCAGAAACAATTTTAATTGTAATTTTATTGCGCATGCAAAACAAGAAGGCGATACTGCGAAAGTGAAAAGTCGGAAACACAATGATGAAAAGTCGAAAGTACGATGGCACCATTGTGGTTTCGTTATTTCGACATTTCACCATCGAATTTTCGACTTCGCATCATCGTATCTTCGAATTTTCACCATCGTGATTTCTTTATTTCGACCTTTCACCATCGTTTCTTCTTTGTTTCGAGTTATATATGTGTGTTGTGGTGGCCCTAACAGGACACCGTAAAAACATAGTGTTATAAAAAAAAAAACATGTATTTTTAAGAAAGAGCCAAATTAACCTGTCCAGTTATAGGAAATGCAGCTTCACAAACATATTTTGTGCATTTTCTTATTAAAATTAGACGAAATCAGTAATGATTTCATAGATTTCAATAAATATCTGCGATAAAAACATTTTTAAAAAAAAGGGAGCATATCATATTTTAAGAATAAATTCAGTGTTTTACGAAATCGTGAGTAGTGATTCTAAAATATCAGTTTTATTATATGCAAAACTCTAATATTTCAACTGATACAGTTGTGAAGTTAATTTTTGTATCACGACAGAAAAGTTTTCAATAATCATTTCATCAACAAGCGATTGATTTCGATATATGTTTCGCTATGATGATAAATCAATGTATCGTAGGCCTAATTTGTCATAAACTATCTGATTTTCATTGAAAATGCTTAGAATTAAGGCCAAATTATTTATATGTAGATGAACAAAATGTAGATGAACAAAATTTAGATCTATGTATTAAGTCTAAGCTGTATTATATGTGGCTTTTACTCTCGTACATATGTGTACGTATATATTTTTATGCTGTTTATCTTAAATGATGTTTATATTACATAATTTTTATATTAATTTGATATGCTGATTTAAATGTTGATATGTTCACTAAATATAATGTGCCTATAATTGTGCTTTTGTTTACATTGTTACATATTTGATGATGTGTGTATGCATGTAAAATAAGACTTATTTTTATCCATTAAATGAATATATGTTATATTCATAAACACATATAACCTTTGATTAAATATATGTATAATGTTATACCACACCTGAACGGTATCGCACGATGATTCTGGTGATTTAGAATCATTGAACAGAGAGCTCGAACCGGATGTCATATTGCAAGCTGCGGTGCTGTTTTTTGGTTTCCCTGTTTATTTTATGCAACTATAGCCCCACTCATTTTCCACTCGTTTAAAGCATACAAATTGATTTAACCCCAAAAAAGCCCTGGGTAGTTTAGTGGGGAGCCTACTAGGCACCACAGTGGCGGGTGAAAAAAATAATTTAAAAAATAAAAAATGATAATAAAAATAATAATAAAAATAATGATTACAATAATAATAATAATAATAATAATAATAATAATAATAATAATAGGTGGCAATTTATTGTAAACAATTTTTCAATTACAAAGTCGGGAAACTTCGGCAGATCTCGGTACTCTCCGTGTATGACCGTGAGTAGCCATTTGATATAATTAAAGTATATTATCTTTGTTACGGTATGTGATGAATATGGGCTGAATTTATAGTTTGAAATTACAATAATATGTGATACATCAACATTTAATCTACATCACAGTAATTAATATGAAAGGCATCGGTCTAAAATAATGTACAAATCCTTCATTTTCTTTTTTATGATTGCAAATAAGTTGCATGTAATTTAAATACCAATAACTTAATTATCAGCATTTTATTTAGAAAAAAAAAATATTTAATTATCTTAACCATCTAAATAATAAAACATTTATTTAATATCATGATAATTTTCTGGGATTTTTTTAATTAAACGGAAATGGGGGAAAAAGATGCACAGAGATGGTCGGGTGTTACAGTAAAAACATTTAACAGGTCATACTACCGTGCATTTTTATTTATTTATTAATTTATCTATTCATTTATAATCTTATTTATTTTATTATTTATTTATTCGATCGTTCCATCCTTCCTTCATTCAATTCCTTCCTTCCTTCATTCAATTCCTTCCTTCCTTCCTTCCTTCATTCATTCATTCGTCGGATTATTTTGCAGAAAGGATCTTAAGTTCTTATGAAAGGTTTAACTTCATCATATTAATGTATTTAAACTCCAAAGAACCCAGCTGTAAAACTATTAATAAGTTTGTTTTGATGCTGCATAGTTGTTACAACATATACTCCGCAGACGTGTAAAACATGCATTATAACATATGTATAATTAATTTCATTAAAGTGAAATTATGAATACATTCATCGTTTGTTCATAAAAAATGAATAAAAAACGACAAAGATGTGTTTAGGTCTGGTAAGTTACAAGTCATTTCATTGACATAAACACACGGCTTTCATTTAGATAGATAAGTAAGAATATCTGTAAGTTGATTTTAGAAATAAGTGTCTATTTCTTTTGACTACAATACTAGATCATTCAAACAGAAATTAACCACATCTTCCTAACAAGCCTAACCCATCCCTCCCCTTCCATATGATATCTATAGACCTTTGTTAAATTGTATTGCATGTATCGGAGATGTATGGAACGTATGCTCAAATCCTTATTGTGAATAAATTTGTCCTGTCATTTTCTTATTCCTTAAAAGCAAACCTTTAAAGGCCCAATAATTTTGTCCCTAGAAATTTCTCAAAAGTTTATCTTTTATTTTTGGTGTCCTGTTATAGTTTCCAGAATTTTACTCACTTTCCATTTACCTGAAACTTGATTTTGTTAATTATATTTAGTATAGTTTTAGTGATTTAGTATTTTGTATGGAAGTCAAAATACTTCTTTGTTTACATTTTGCTACATTTATGACAAATAATTTCACATTAAGTGCTACTTCTTAGGTGATTATTGTCTAAAATGAATAATTAAAAAAAAAAAATGAAATGCATGTTTGCCCTTTTTTAAAGCGGAAAAATTCAGTCTAAGGGATAATGTGCCTTTAAGTAATCAGATTATAGCCATTATGTATATATTCAAACCACGCTCTTCGTATTAGCTCAGTATAATAATATTTTTATATAAACATGCGCATTTTTTGTTGTTACGGAAGTTGAATCAATTCAAGTTCCCTACCGGGCTCGAGCACAAACCGTTCCTCGGGACTCTTCAGACGTTATAACACGGAAAAACGTGCGTTAACCCTATATTAATATGTGATTTTCATGCTATAATGGGCTTATAAGCCGCCTTATTTCTTTATTGAGATAATACAACTGTGTGTCTTCATTAACCATACAATATACTTATAATATCAAGATTATGAAATTTTCTTATTCACAAACATCAACATATTTAACACATTTGTCACGGAATGTGACCTCTTGTTACACAATTAGTGCCAAGTTGCATAGGCACTTACATCGCCTGCATCTGGTCACTAGGGGTCCAATCAAAGTCATAAAATACGTCTTTGATGGCGCAGTCATTCAACAAATTACAGATGTTCGTAGCTAATTGTCATAAGACTTGTCAATTTAGTTACCAGACCAAAACAAATCTCGATTGCTTTCTTTCTGTGAAATATGTGCAAGTCGAAATGTATTAACTCGCTCTTATTTTTAACATAACATATTATTATCTTAATGCCATAATAATGTTTTTATTTAACTTTATTTATCGGTAAATTTATACAACCAGAAATATTTTCTTGAACTAAGTCATGCACCTGGACTATAATAATAATAATAATAAAGACTTTATTTAACGAGAGAACTCATTTGAACAAACATATCAATCTTCCATGAGGCCCTCAACAAGGAACAATATAAATTTAACATTTTCAAACTATTAAAATACATAAATGTAAAAACATACAGGAGATTATCAATTTGTATACATCAATGCGTGATAAAACCTCAAGTATAAGGTTTTAAAATGGTTAACAGATGTAGCAGACTTAATATAATCAGGAAGGCCGTTCCAAATACAAGATCCAGAATAAACAAAAGACTTACGAAATTGTTCAGTATTTGGTCTAGGGGTATAAAGTTGAAAATCAGATGATGAACGCAAACTGCGAGTATGAACATCTGACGATAAAATGAAATTATTCAATAAATAGGAAGGCGCCTGATTATTTATTATTTTAAACATCATAATAGCTTTTTGAAAAACAACCCTCTGTGAAAAGGTCATCCAGCGGAGTTCAGAAAAAAGTTCAGCAGATGGAGTGTCATAATCTTGTCTAGAATTAGTCTTGCAGCTCTCTTTTGGAACTTAACGAGTTTATCTTCTAGAAAAGACGTACAGTTACCATAAATTATGCAACAATAATCAAGATGTGGTAAAATATATGCATTGTAAAACATTTTACGTACAGGTATAGATATGAATAATTTTATACGTGATAATAAATGTAACAATGAGTTACACTTTTTAAGAACATTATCAATATGGCTTTGCCAAGACAAGGTGTTATTAATTGTAATACCCAATAATTTTTCTTCAGAGCTACAGAAAATTTGCTCTGTTTTATATAAAATACAAGGATTACTTTCATGAATATAATTTTGCTTGTGTTTTGAGGAAATATACATGACCTTAGTTTTGTTAACATTGATAGACATGCGATTCAAATCACACCATTTGTTGGCATTTAAAAGATCATGAGTAAGAGATTCAACTACTCTGTTTAGGGATACATCAGAGGTTGAAAGGGTGGTGTCATCAGCAAAAATATCAGTTTCTGTTTTTTCCATAGACAAAGGCAGGTCATTGATATATATTAAAAACAGTATAGGACCTAGCACTGAGCCCTGAGGAACTCCAGTAGTTACTGAACTTGACTCTGAATATAAACCGGATATGAAAGTTTGTTGGGTTCTGCAATCTAAATAGGAGGAAAACCAAGCAACTGATGAAGGGTCTAGGTTATACATTCTAAGCTTTTCAATAATAATAGAGTGATCCACATAGTCAAAAGCTTTAGAGAGATCAAGGAAAATTGAACCAACTATTTCATTTTTGTCAATAGCTGTAATCCAATCATCAATAATTCTAATCAATGCTGTTTGACATGAATGATTTGACCTGAATCCAGACTGACGTTGGTATAGAAGTTGATTTTTCTCAAGGTATTGCTTTAAATGTGAACTGACATGACGTTCAAGAATAAGTGATATCAAGGGAAGTATGGAAATTGGCCTATAATTTCTTTTATCACTTTTAGAACCCTTTTTATGTATAGGAATGACTTTTGCATTTTTGAATGATTTAGGAAATGTATTGTTAAGAATACTGTTATTGAATATAGTGGTAAGTATGGGAGCAATAATATGAGCCGATAACTTTAGAACTAAGTATTATCTTTGAGCAATCGGTTTATCTTTTCTAAAAACATAATGATAATGATAATAATTGCACGTGGGTTTCTAATGCAGTCAAAAAAATAAATAAATAAATAAAAATAAATAAATAAATAAATAAATAATACAACCAATGCTACCAATGAATAAATAACCCCAATAAACTACACCTATCCCTCCACCAATTACTTTACATTTATGTTTTACTGAATGTTAATGTCTTATTTATGTACAAAATTTCAAATTCGTGTGCCAATAGTTGTTACATGTTACATTGTTCAGCTTCATCGGGCAGTCTATACATTTATATTGTACAATATTTTGTTAGTTAATAGTTATTTTCTTAAAGCTAATGTGAGCGCTATTCAAGATATGCTTTCGGAAAAAAATAATGTAAGCATTATCACTATACCAAGACGTTTTGCGTGAGACAGAAGTCCAAATTGAATGAAAATAACGGTCCAGGAAGTATTTCCGTCTAAAACTTACTAGACCGTTTTAGAACTTGTCCTTTTTTCGTAAAGTAAAAGAAAACAGGTTTGAAAATTCAGATGTTCACTTGGTTTTACTTTACTAGTAAAGAAAGAAATACTGATTATTCAAAAATAAATTACGTCTAGAGTAAGCAAACTCTATATTTTATCTCATGCAAAATGAAGATAAGATTTAACAAGTTATAAAACAATGTAGAAGAAAATAAATCTTTCGCACTCTCTGTGCTCCAGTCATATATCTTAATTTACATGATTTGTGCAATAAACGTTTGAATTTGAAATTGAAGTATTAAACAACTTAATGAGTTGATTCTATTATACAGTACCAATTGCTTCTTACCAATTTTACACGCGCAT